GTGGGACCGCATCATTGAGAGAAAAGAAGATGCTGTGCTGAACTTGGAAGCCGAATTTTTGGATTACCCGCTTCGAGATCCAGCGGTAGAGCTACGGTGAGAACAGGGATGAGGCGAAATTCATCGCGAAAAACTATGTCAAGATCGCTTACTCCTGTTGTATCGGTATGCCTGACTTGTTCATCATTCATCCCATGCATTTGTTCTCCAGAAACAAGAACATCACCCTCCGCCTTGTGTGGGACCACATGCCTTTGACCGGTACCCTCTTCATGCGATCGGATCTTGTCAACTCTACCATCCTACCAGATCAATACACATAGCGGACTAGTGTGTTGACCCGGGCCACGTTGTGAGTGCGCAATGACTTTTTTAAAACAGCAGGAATGGTACAGGGGGATAAACGACATAGGAACGACGACTGGGGTTATAGGCTCGTTTGACGGAGGGCGAGGAAAAAGGAGAACTTGGACAACCAACCTCCCCTTCTTTTCTCAAATGTAATAAATGCAAAGACAAAGCACGCGCATCCTAGCGACTACAAACCCGAATCATCTGAATCAGTTAAAGAGACGCGTACACGCCCGTATGTGTGGGTAAAGAAAGGACTTTGGAGGCAAATAAGCGGCCGGTTTACGAATGACGAACATGCTCGAACCGTTACGGCGTTTTCTTTGCAAGATGACACTATCTCCGAAGGCCCTTGGGCTTGCCACTCTTGGAAGGCAGAGGCACGCATGCGATCTCTTATGTGCTCTTCCCATGGAAAACTTTTCCCCCTATGCATGCCATGACGGCGGTGGGACCAATGCGGCACTTTTTCAGGCCTACTTTTTCTTCTTCATCAAAGCGGTACGAGTTGAGCAACGACAGACACATCTTGTCCTCAGAATCTCCTTCACAACTCCCTCCTGGCATATCAGCAGGACAGGAGTCTCTGCAGCGAGGCTTCTACCCAACCTTTAATTATGGATGATGGTGGAAGTGACGGCGGGATGGATATGATGGGTTCGATGAGCATGACTTTCGCTCCATTTTCTACCTACCAGCTGAAAGTCATCTGGGGATGGTGGGACGTCCAAACTGAGGGGCAGTACATTGCAACGCTTCTTGCCATGTTTGTTGCTGTCGTTTTGTTCCGTTGGCTTGTAAAGCTCGAGACGGCATACGTAAAGAGGGCCCTCGCAGTCACGACGTTAGCTGGTAACATCGATTGCTCCAGCCGTGGAGAAAGGGAAGGTAAATCCTGTAGAAATGACACTTTGGGTGTGAATACGGAACTTGAGGAATCCCTTCTCTCGAGGGAAGGTCATGAGGATGCTGCCGGGCTTGGCCCGAGGGTTAGCTCCTTAAGTAAGGTGCCATTTCAAAAACGGGTCGTGCAGGCCGCTTTATCCGCTTTTCTGTATATGTATGCGCTGCTCTTGATGCTCGCGGCCATGACGTATAATCCTGGCATCTTTTTGGCTTTAGGGATAGGCTACGCTGTTGGTGAACTTTTTTTCGGTACTGCTTTTGAGACGGAGTTGATTAGCGGGAGGCGGGAGAGGAAGGAGAGGTGCTGCGAGTAAGATTTCAAGAAGGAAAAATGGAATGGTCGAAAGAGGGTGCGCGCGGCTTTTTAAAATGTCGTGTGCTGATTTGACCGGGATAAGAATGGAGTTTGGCGTGTATAGGGCGCTCGCGGTCGTCAGTGGGTAGTCAACAAGATGGTGTACATACATAAGACGTGTGCCTGAAGAATCAAGATATCCGAGGAAACGAGAAGACGAATACAGATCGAGGCCACGTGTTGGGCAGAAGGCACTCTTTGGGAGGTTCTGTACAATTGTTTTCCTTGTTGCCTCCTTCAAATCGTATGACTCCTCCATCTTCCGCTACCTCTCCTCAACGCCCGAAAAATTCATCCAAAATAAATTTCGCCCCCCTCGAAGCCACCATCAATACCGTGCTGTGTGTGTTCCCACTCGGAATAGTAGGAAAAACTGAGGCATCCGCCACTCGCAGTCCGTCCACTCCCATGACATGCAAGCGCGGGTCCACGACCCCCATAGGATCCTCCTCTTTGGTCATTTTACAGCTCCCACACCAATGGGAGTTGACGAATTTATTCTTCCGTACCCACTTCTTCAGGACACCCTCATCGACCAAATCGGGCCCAGGCAGCGTCTCCTCCTGCGCCGCCTCCGTCATGGGACTCGTCCGCGCAATCACGCGCACATTCCGTACCCCCCATATCAACTTCCCAATGTCCATGTCGGAGAGAAAGCCTTCGCCCTCCGAGGCCGACACGTTCGCTTCCCGCACGCGTGCAGGCCCATGCATGGCGTCCCGAGGATCCAGCTCCACGGAATACCGTGCCTGCGGGTCCAAGAGCGCGATGGTAACGAGCATGGTGCCCCGCTGGGTCTTGCTCGCTGGCGGCAAGGTCGGGGTGGACGACAGGTTGGCCGCCCGCGGGCTGGCGCCCGCATCCATGGCTTCTTCGCTCTCCTGCTGCTTCTGCACCAGATGGGGCTCTGAGATGCGCGGGAAGACCGTCAACTGTAGATCCGGGTAGTTTTCCTTGAAGGCCGGGTTCTTGCTCCCTTTGTCCGACTTGAGGAAGGCCCCCGCAGTAAAGCCACTGCTCGCGAATATGGTGTAGTCCTTCTGTTGGCTCCCCGGCTGGTCACCCGGGAAGAAGCCCCCCCCTCCCCACTGCTGCCCCGGCCCGCCGGCTCGATCGACCCTGCTTGTCGCGCCCTTGGCCCTGAGGATCTCCCCCCCCTCCACCACCCAGTCCTTGTACTCGGTGAGCTCTTCGAAGGAACCCGCCGCCGCCGCCACCCGCCCCGCCAAGGGCGTGGTCAAGGTGAAGGTCATGGGCACAGAGGGGTGGTCCTGGAGGTTCTCCCCGACGCCCGGTAGGTCGACGAGCACAGGGATGCCGGCCTCTTCCAGCTTCCTTCGGGGGCCCACGCCCGAATTCATGAGGATCTTGGGAGTGTGGATGGCGCCTGCGGTCAGCACGACATTCCCTTTCCCTTTCCCCCTCCCCGGGCTCTTGAGCCGCGCCTCCCGGCTGTCACCCCCTTCCGCGGCGAACGACACGCCTGTGGCCGTGTAGACGCCGTCCTTCTCGCCCGACATGAGCACGTGCGTCACCTTCGCCTTCAGAACTATGTCCAAATTGCTCCTTTTGTCCATAATCGGGCCCAAAAAGGCACGGGCGGCGCTCATGCGCACCCCGTTCTTGATGCAAAAGTGGTAGTAGGCAGCCCCCAGGCGTCCATTGGGCGCATTGAAGTCGTCGGAAATGGGCAGGCCCGTGATCCGGCAGGCTTCTAGAAAGTAAGGCGCGACCTGGTCCACGTACATGGGCGGCGCGGACCGGATCGGACCCCCCTTGCCGTGGTAGGAGGAGGGGGGGCCGTCGAAGTCCTCGAGCGCCATGTCCTCCGCCAGCGCGGCCTCCCACGTCCACCCCACATCCGTCAGGTTCCACGCCTCGAAGTCCTTGGGCAGAGAGCGCACGTAGAGCATGGCATTGTGCGCGCCGCAGCCTCCCAGAACCTTGGCAATCATGGCCCCCTCCACGTCCCAGTGGTAGTCCGCCTGGTGCGCCACCGTGCTCCAGAGCAGCGGCACGTCGAACATGGTCAGGGGCGACGCCGTGTAGTCCGTGCCCCCTAGACAGCCCTGACTCGCCCCCCCCGCCTCCAAGAGGAGGACCTCCACGGCCGGATCCTCGCTCAGCTTGTTCGCCAAGACGCTCCCTGCCGGCCCCCCGCCTACCACGATGAAGTCGTAGCCCTCCAACCTGAGGGTGGGTGTGGGCCGCGCTCCGTCGTGCCCCGCCGTGGCGACAGAGGCGCTACTGCGCCAGAAAGACGGAAGTGAGCACGTGGATGGTGGAGCGAGAGACATGCTAGGGTGTGTATCCGCCGCGACCGGGTCAGGAACCAACGCGTGGAAAAGGAGGGAAAAACACGTGCTGGGGCAAGACCGGAGGCAATTTCCCTCTGTCCCGTCCTTTGTCGGGGAGTGAGCACACACAGGACGTACCTTTCTCCGAATGGGAGAGAGGAGGGCGAGTTCGGGGCCGGCGGGGGCTGCCCTTGCAGAACATAGACGAGAGCCGCCACGGAGAAGGTCAGGAGGAGCAAGCTGTACCCATACAGGAAGGGGCGGTGTTCGAGCAGGGCCGTCACTACCCCGCCTCGTTGAGCTGTGGCATGGGCTACGGCGCACAAATGTCCACAAGAGATGAGAAATGTGCTCGAGTAGTCACAGCGTCAGACTCAAGCATGACTTGCCATTCTTTGCCCCCTCACGTCTCGGGATTCATTCAAGAAAGGCTTACCGATACCAGACCTTGCCACTGCCGCGGGTGGCACCATCGACACATTGTCTTCCTCATCCTCGTGCACCACTGGGAGGTCTTCCTTTCCCTCCCTGTAGAATGTCCAAAAGTCGAGATGCGGAACGCGGTGTTTTTGAGAGGTGCTCGTAAGCCCACTCCAAAGTGTGCATGCGACTCCATGGTTACAATCATGCCACGGAAAAAAGAACTTACCCAATCCGCTGATAGCCTCCACGCAGCACCATGGCCCTCGCAGCGTCCCTGCTTGACGGGCGCTGATGGCAAGGGGGGGTATAAATTCGTGTTGAGTGCGTCACAGGGCGTCCAGGAGACGAGGCGTAAAGCGAATCATCGCCAGGGAAGGGATCGAGAACTTCCCTGCCTTGTTGGTTTCACCGCCCGTCACTGGCGTGCCTTGGCTTTTAAAGGGCTTTCCTACATATTTTTGCACGTTCTTCTTGTTTGCCAGTTGCCTCCCAAAATTTCACTTATCATTTCGACCGTCCTGTCTTGTGGAGGAATTAATCCGGCTCTCTCTTCATCTTTTTACATCGCAGAGAGCGGAGGTCATTCTGCACAGGTAATGGCCGCATGCCGCATACCAACGAGGGGGAGGTGTCACATTTCTTGGACAGGTACCGCACTTTCATCAGCGTGTACTGGCAACAAGAGATTCGCGACGAGCCAGACGGATGCAGCCAAATGGCGTCAGATCTACGGCCAAAAACCTCCCCCCCATGCCGGAAAAAAAGCCTTGCCTCCCCAAGAACTCGCCCGGCTGGACGCTAGAAACGGCATCCTCGTTGCCCAGGAATCAGACGAAGGCATTAAAACTTTCAGAGCTTTTGCTGGAGGGAAGGAAGATTACGTGTTGCGCTTCGGTGACCATGTGTGCGTGATAGGCAAGAACGGGGCGGGAAAGTCCTTGTTTTGTCAGGCGCTCGGCGGGCATAGAGAGGTCCTGCCTCACGGGATGATGGGTATGGAAGATACAGAAGAATCTTTTCAGGGTGCAGATGCCAAGCAAGAGCGGCTCGAGGGGACCGGGTGCAAGGAAGCGGAGAAAGAAGGCGCCGGGAAAGCCACCGGGCGAGAGGGTGTCATGTTCATGTCCTTCAGCATGCATGGGCATTTCCTGGCCCGCTACAAAGACCGAGTGGTGGCGGATGTTCTGGGAGGGTCAAGTGATCCCTTGGCGCGACGGCTTATCGTGCAACTGGGTCTGTACCCCCTCTGGTAAGCGGGAGGCGTCGTCCTCAGCCCCCGTCACCACCCCCCAGTGTCTGCCAGCCATTCCCTTTTCTCAAGCATCCGCATATTGCGAAAGATCATCACTCCCATCTCGTCAGGGCTTGCGTCTGGCACCCATTCGCCTCCGTTTGCCCACATGCGCTCCTCCTCTCCCCTCCTCATCACCCTCCAGGTACAAGAGGGTCCACATGCTATCCACGGGAGAGATCCGGAAGGTGCTTTTGGCCGCCACCCTGAGCAAATCCCCGCAGGTCCTCGTCCTAGACAAGCCTTTTGATGGACTCGACGCTCCCTCACGGTGCGAACATGGACTGCGGCCGCCCCCCCCCCCTTCCCCTC